ATTGGGTTGTGGGGCTGGGAGCTGGACCATGGGGCAGAGGGTCAGGACCATGTCCATGGATATAGGCCATGACAGGGATGGCTGGTTGGTGACTCAGGAGGTCGGGCTATGGGGCCATGAGGAAGCCAAGGGCTCTGCCCGCTCACAGGGGGCCCCGCGCGTTGCGGGCGCTGTTCATCTTCATGGCCTTGATGATGAGGACGGTGCCCGCCACGATGCCCACGATGCCCACGGCCAGGCCCAGGGCGCACACCAGCGTCTCGGTGCTCTCGGACGCGGGCAGCGGCACCTGGGGCTCTGTGGGGAGACGAGGGACAGAGTGAGGACAGGAGCACAAGGCCATGGCCGCCTACCAGGGGAGAGGACCTGGGTGTCCAGGTCCTGGTCCGGCCCCCGCACTCACCCCAGTGCTTGAGCAGGGCCTTGGGCAGCCCCCAATGCTCCACCCGGCAGTCGTAGTAGTCACCCCGTGTGGGCACGAAGGGCAGGTAGGAGAACTTGCGGAAGGTGTCGTCCTCCCGTAGGAGGTAAACGGTCTCGAAGATGCCGTCCACCACCTCCTGCCCGTTCTTCAGCCATGTGATGTTGATGACAGATGGCCAGAACTTGTCCACGTAGCAGATGAGAACATTGGGGTCGCCCAGGTTCATGCGTCGTTTGGTGAACACCATGACCTCAGGTGGCTCTGGGGAGTCAGGGAGGAGGAGTTAGGGCCACTCATGCCCCACTCCTGAGGTGAATGCGACCCCAAGTATCTGGGGCTCCTGCCCATGGAGAAGGCCCTGTGAGTCCCACAACCCAGGGACACCATCCACAGGGTACCCCGCACCAGGATTGTTACCCATCGTCCCCTGGGAGTGGTTGGCTCTCAGCATGAGGAGCTCCATGTGCTGCTTTTCTGCGGCCAAGTGCTGCACGGCCGCCTTGGCCTTGAAGCTGGTGAATTGCCCGAACTCCGGGAGGCGCCACACGGTCTCCATCTTCTGCAGATCCACGTGGAACATCTCGTCCCCATCGAAGCTGAACACGTACTGCCCGCCCTCCTGCTGCAGCGTCTCTGCCCGCTGGTATAGGTCAACCTGGAGCATCACGTTCCTCGCTGGGAAGGGATAGACACGAGGGGGTGCCCATGGGGCCTTGCGAGGTTCCCTGAGGCCAGGGTCAGTGATAGGCCCGGCTGAGGGGACACAGAGATGTGGCCCATCCCAGACTTGCTGTGGGACAGGGTGGAGATGACAGGGGTCGTCGTGTCCCCCACCTTGGGGGAGGACCTCAAAGCCACCACAACGGGATGCCCACGGTCATGCGCCATGGGGCCCTTGTGGGGCGTACGAGGGAAAGGGGGGGATCCATGTCCCAACCCTGCACTGGTGCCCCTATGCCATGCCCACACCGTGCCCCACATCCGCCCCCAACGCTCAGCCCCACGTCCACCTGCCCCCACTCACCCTTCACAGCCCCCGTGACCTGCAGGGCCAGCAGGGCTAGCAGGGCCAGCGGGACCCCCCGTCCTCCGGCCATGGCAGCAGACAGTGACAGCAGGACGGGGCCGGTGACGCCCTTGGGGACGCGGGGCTCCGTGCTGGCCTGACGTCGCCACC